CGTTTAGACCAGGAGGTACATGTTACACTGGCCCTTGGCCGCTCCACCCCTGGGCAGTGGGGAAAGGGTTACTCTTTAGGGAATTGCCAGGCTTGGTCCAAGAAGGCAGCCTGTGGTCTGTGGGGTGTCCAGCCTGGCCCCAGGGGAAGGCTATTGATTTATTTGAGATACCCCAACCATCTTTCACAGCTGTGGGCTGTAGAACCTGCCATTAACCTTGGTCCCCTTGCTGGGTGTCTGCAATGGGCCAGGGGCAAGACCCTGGCCCAGAGGTGGAATCAAATGTTTTGGCCTGAAGATGAGGGACAGAGGCAAGCACCTCTCTGCTATTTTTCACCCAGAAGGGTTTGCTTTAAGAACATGTTCGACTGAACTTAGGATCATTACTGTAACTTGGGATCAGCTACCGCCGAATTGGAAATAAGTAAGATTTATGGGACTATGGTTTCGTGAAGAGCGTCTCGGTTATCAGGACTTGTGGCAGATCTTCTCTGTCACCAACTGCAATCAATCTTGCCTTTTATTAAGCTTTAATAAGTGACTTTGGTTCTAGGGAAAGTTCTGGAACAGTCAGAGGCAGCGCGTAAAATCCTGCTGATCCCAGAACAGGCTGCAATAAAAAAGCTCCCTCCTGTGGCCCTGACAGTGGTGCTGCCAGTTCACTGGGGACAGAGCCCCGCAGGTGCAGGTCCCCTTGCCCAGCACCTTCAGCAATGCGGTGCATGACAGCACAGTGAAGCTGCCTGACATTCCACACTGCAGCGCAACGACCTTGACACTCAGTGCAAGAAGGCCTGCGATTGGCCCTGGCCAGCTTTTGAAGCATTCAAGGCCGTGGGAGCCCAGCACACCTGTGCTCAGCTCTCAGCACCCCCAGGATGCAGCACCCAGGTCCTCCCGTCTGGCTCTTGTGTGGCCTGGTCCAGGTTTGTCTTTCCTGGTGACAAGGAGGAGTGAGGCTTCCCATCAGGCTTCTGTGGGGTCCCAGAAACGGTCCTAGCCCCTCCATACCTCGCCGAGCGTCAAGGGGCCAAGCCATGCACTGCACTGCCTCCCCTTTCTTCCCCCTCCTTAGCCTGCGGCTAGGTATTTCAGGCTGGCCTCAAACTTGCCATCCTCCCGGGGGTCGAACTCATAACCTCACACTTCCTAGGCAGGTGCATGTGCCACTGAGCTGCATCTCCAACCCCTAGCTCTTCTTAAAAGGGACACACTCCCTGTAGAAATGAGTCCTTCTTGGAAGCCACGCCTCCCAGGCAACACCTGTACTACTCAGCTCCTGGGGTCTTCTGCCCAATGTCTGGGCCGTTGACGACACGCGGTACCCTTACGCGGCATAGCTTCTCATGTCTGCTTCTCGCTTCCTGCAAGTCGAAAAGCTGAGGTGGGCGGAGTATAAACCCTTTCTGGCCCGTTTCCGAGCAGATTCAGAAGCAGATGCTAAGAACCACTGGGCCCAGGTGTGATGTGGAGCCAGGTGGGGCGGGCGGAGCTGGGCTGGAGGGAAGGGCATCCTAAGGTGATGGGAGTCTTTATGCATTCCAGGGCTTGCTGGCTTCCAACTTGCTGCTTACTGCATTGAAAAATATTCCACATGGTGGAAGAACTATTTTCCAAAACAAAATACTAGTATTCATCAGGAGGCGCGGGCTGTGCAGTGTGAACAATTCACTTTCGTTAAGTACCATATGGCCGCGGGTAGGAAAACGCTAACATGTTTCAACAGTACAGCTGGGGTAGGGCTCCTTTATTCACCGTGCAGATGGCTCTAATTGACATCTCTCCTAAAACAGGTCTCCAGCATTTCTGCAGGATCATTAGAGTAATTAGTTATTAAATACCATCACCACTTTTAGAGAGGGGGTCTGAGCCTTGGCAACTTTCCACCGTGGTGGAGCTGACAGGCCAGTTGGGAGGCCGAGCCATCGAGGGCCCATGGCGGGGTGAGCTGGCACCTCCTCCTCAGTGGCGAGGCCAGGGGAAGACAGAGATGATGCGAACTCCAGAACAGACCCACAGAGCACTCATCCTTGAGTGGAGTTAACAGCGACTGTCCTCGGGCTCTGCAGAGCTGTGGGTGCCCGAACAAGAGCACATGGAGAGAACCAGAAGGGCTCAAGGGCTGTGGCTGGGCTGGTCTTGATGGCTGTCACTCGCCCAAACACATCTGAGACACGGCCCTTCACACTGCCACAACCATGGCTTCCTTGTACTGCTACCAGAGCCAAGTCTACAAATGCTGGCCAGCCTGGCTGTCTCAGGAGGCTGTCCTGACAGGCCAGAGGTCAGCTCAGGTGTGAGGGCCGGCCCTGGACAGTGGATCCAGGTATACCAGAGGACAGCCTGATGCCAGCCCTTGACTGCAAAACGTACCCCCTCTTACCAGCGAGTTTACATGGGGCCTGTGCTGCACTCGGGAGGCGAACACAACTGAGGGTGGGGGGAGGAGGACAGTAGGAGGACTGACCACCACTCTTTTGTGGGGCTGAAAACCCAAAGAGCTCCACAGACCCCACACTCTGGAGCACATGGTGGCGGCAGGAACCCTAGCCCTCTTGAGACGGTGAGAACCCTCGGGCTCCTGTCTGGTTGCAGAGGGGCCTGGTGCTGGGGTTCCTTTCTTCCTCAACCCGACAATGGAAGAGTTCATGGGTTGAGGGGTTGGTGCTGTGCTGGGTGAGTCACTGTGGAATGGGCTCCTGATAAAAAGGGTGGGTTCGGGCCCCCTTTCTTTGTTATGTATACTCTTGCACTGCCATTGAGTACACAGCTTAAGACTCTTGCTGAATGCTGGTATCCTTCTACTGGATTTTCCCATCCCCAACCGCAAGAGATCAATTTTAATTGTTTGCAAGGTACCTTGTCTGTGATATTTTGTCACGCAGCATGAAACACATGAAGATGTCTGATGTTAACCCCAAAGAGAGGTTCCTAGTGCCAAGGTCGCCCAAGGGTGGGCAGGGACCTGTTGGGCTCATGGCGAATGTGCTGAGGGTCTGCTGCATCCACCACAGCCAGCGCTGTGAATCATGCTACTTTGGCAAAAAGAAAGGTGGTCCAGCACGTACACGGCCTAGGATTTCTCCGCAAAGGTAAATACAGACATCCAAGGGGTATCATGGATTTAGGAAATAGCCTTCACTTTGAGCTCATTCCCCATAGATCGAGGGTTAATAGCATGGCATTATTAGTTTAATTTCACAGTCTAATCACTTTCCTGCTTTATTGATCGAAAGACTAAGAGCAATTGTGATTTTTGTGAGGCTAAATCAGCTAAGGGAACAAGGCCAGGTGGCTATCTGAGCTCAGAGGCCACACAGGGGTGCCGTGGCCTGGCCTCCCACCCTGCACACCAACACCAGGTGACCCAGAGGAACCAGGCCATACCACATGCACATCTTCCCACAGAGAACCGAGGACTCGGCATGTCCTGATCCCGAGAGAGCTGCCTCTAACCAGCATCCGAAGGTGGGCCGGCCTCATGACAGCCCCCTCACCACACAGTCAGCCAGCCCCGGCCACCTTGTATGCCATTTGGAGTCCCAAACCGGCCAGGGCCTCATTGTTAAGCACCCCCCATCAGCAGGGCCCCATCTGTGCGATGGAATTTTTTTTGTCACTTTTTCAAATCAGAATAGAAACAATTTTTAGTCTATAATTATCATTTCTTTTCTCAACAGACAAATGTTTCCTTTTAAATTGTAGGGCGGAAAAAGCAAAGAACAACATTTTAAACCAAAAAGAAAGACTAAAATTAATTTCCTCTTTACAGAAAAATAAAATACAACAGCCCTAAGAAGCCAGGGTTTTTTCTTTTTCCAAAAGAGCAGCGAATGTGGCAGTGCATTCACCGTCACTGTTTAGGTCCATTCATGAGAAGCCAGTCCTGGTGGAGGGCAGGCCCGGGCATCTGGGAGGAGCCTGGGCTGTCCACAGCGGCCGAATGAACTGCCTAACGGGCTTTGCAGGGAGCTGGCAGTAGAGGTAAAGGCTGGGGCCTGTGGAGCCTGGCGTGCAAGCTTTCTACCTGAGCCCTTGGTTTCCGTATCTCTATAATGGGAGAGCAGCTTAGCTTCTAAAATTGTGGGCCCAAGAAGTCCTGCAAATGTCACCAGCAGGAAGGGTGCCAATGTCCTCCTCAAGCAGGATGGCACTGCCCTCAGGTATGTGGTACTAAGGGCAGGGCTGGCGGGGCTTGAGGTGGGGGTTGTGTGCCAGCCCCAGATGGCAGGATGAGCTGAGTTCTGTGTGGCGGGGCAACCCCTGCTCAGTGGATGAAGGCAGAAAGCTCAGGGAAGCAGCCCCCAGGATGCTGGGTCTGTTCCCAACCGCTGGCCTCCTTAGCAGGGCAGCACGGGCCTTGCATGTCCCTACATGCACTGAGCTGGTCCACGGGGCCACTACCAACCCACTGGCTGAGTCCTCAGCATAAGCCCCTCAGGGGCTCCCCACTTTCCAGAGTTCCCCTTGGCTCTGGTGCCAGCAAGGGCCAAAACACAAGAGAGCTGCCCAGGCCCTGACGAGGAGGGGCCTTCCACAGTCTGCTGCATAAATACTCCCACTGTGGCCATTCGGGTCAGCAGCCTACGCCACTGCACACGGAGCTGGGAAGAGAGGCTGACGCCAGCCAGGCTAGGTCAGCCCGGGTCCTGGGCATAGAGATCCACCACGAGCTGGGCATCAGGGCTGGCATGTGTGCTGCTGCTGCTCCTGCGAGGTGGCCAGGAAGAACCCACGACACTGTGGAAGGCGAGGCAGAGCAGCCACCAGGTATTTCCGCACTGTCCAGACACCTCAGTGAGCCTTCAGGGCGCTTCACCCCTGGTGCCACCTGGTGCCACCTGGCTCTCTCCAGCTCCCCTCCCATACCTCTTATAGGCCCCCCTGCACCAGCACTGGGTCTCCTCCAGCTCCCTGGTTGCACGTCAGGCTGTCCCTCCTCCAAGGCAAATGCAGCTTCTCTGCCCACAGTGTTATCCCTCCCACGGCTCAGACCTCACCTGTGTGTCCCCCATGGCTACACGCTGCACCACTGCTCCTGTGAGTCCTCTTGTGGCCGCCAGGATCTCCCCACAGGTGGTGGTGAGGGACTCCTCAGCTCGGGCAGGCGTGCCCCGGCTTGGAGCAACTCGGTTCCACCACTTAGTACTCCGCATGGGGCGGCTCCGGAGTCAAGATCCTGAGTCAAGATTTATCTGTACCTCAGGCCGTGGCCTGCCTCTCAAGGAAGCAGGGTGGGAGGCGCAGTAGCATCCACCATCTGTGCTTCCCAGGACCAAAGAGCCCTGGGCCCAAGCATCGTGGCGATGGCACCTTCCACGGCTGGGCAAGTCCTGAGAGATGGTCCAGGAAGGAGCTGCGTGCTGGCCCCAGGCTGCAGTCAGACTCCAGCAGACAGGCAGGGCCTAGGGTGGACATTGGATCTCTGTAATGAGCCCAGCAGGTGGAAAAGGCAACTGGGCATCTTGTGCACCTGATAGCTTGCTAAAAATAGCTGGGGCGGGGTCCCTCTGGTTGGCACAGGGGCAGGTTCAGGGCTCGTGGCTATGTGCCCGTGAATTCCAGGGCAGGGAGGAAGGTCTGGCTCTACACTAACCCTTGCAGACATGGCCGACACTGCGCCTCAGCCGGAAGTGCCAGCTCTGGCCTGGGGCCCAGGGCTCGGCGTCCACCACCTCCCCCAGGCCTGGCCAGAAGAAATTGTTGGCTGCTGGTCATGTGGGAGAGGAAGGGAGACAGGGTTCGGGCAGACGCCAGCAGCTCCGGACACTTTTTTCTTGGCCAAGACACTGGGAACACAGCTCTTCTCCTTGGACCAATGCACTGACAGTGTCGAACAGAAATGTCACCGTGTAAGGCCATGTGACCCAGCAGAAGAGAAAAAGAGGACTAGACTCTTTTGGGCCAAACCCCACCAGTCTCCGTGGCCCTCACGACCCTGCAGGACAAGCAGTGGGCAACAGAACAAAGGGCAAGCTCTCTTCCAGGGACAGGCCTGGTGCTAGCCTGCTTCCTCGGGTCTTTGCTCCCTCCTACGTGTCTAGACAGAAATACTTAGCTCTCAGAACCTTGAAGTCATGTAATTTGGCCTCCTTTCCTAGCTCTAGCACTGAGGTTGCACCTGGGGCACTCAGCTGGCTCAGGAAAAACTTTTAAAAACAAATAACACTCACTAAAAGTCATAGTAGATATTCTTATGGGCCAGGATGTCAGCCAGTGCTGGAAATCACTAAAGTCATCATCCAGCAGAGAAGCAAAGTCTAAGAGCTTGGGGGAGAAGTTCCAGCGAGTGAAATGACTTTCATACGACACCTCTAGCAAATGTAAACACCCCACCGTGCCCCTTGGAGCAAGGCGTCTAGTTCTTCTCCTGAGGGGCTAGGAATGAGAGGCTTTGGTTTGGCTGAAGCATTTTCACCCTACAAGCGCTCCTCTTCCTGTGAAGTCCTTCAGAAACATTCTGACATTTAAACCTGGCCTTCTCATTGGAGCCTTGGAAGGGACACAGCATGGCTTGTCCTGCAAGAACGGGCAAGGCCAGTGAGGAAATGGAACCCACAGAAGCAGGGAGGTCCCCTCTGCCGTGCCATCCCCCATCCTGTCCCTCTCCTAGCTGAAGGCCACCGGCCTGCAAGTTCCTGTCCCTCTGCTGTGGGACTGTGCCGAGATCGTGTTGCTGAAATGCGATGCCCGGCTCCCTCGGGCCAGCCGCGCGGCCACCCTGGCACCAGCATGTGTGCAGCACCCGCCCGTTAGCCGCGAACATCTATCACCAGGCTCGCAGCTGCTCCTCCCCTCGGCACTTCTTGGGTCCAGGCAGGTCAGAACAGTATCCTGCGGTCTCTCTGCTGCCTGCCCCCGCAGGCCAGGCCCCTGAGCCCTCCTCTGGCCTCCTGCCTGCACGAGGTGTGGTACAGGGAAAAGGGGAGCAGATGAGAAGCCTTTGGGCGCGCTCTGCCACTCCCTAGCACAAGCACCGAACATGTCACCTCCTCACCCAGCGTGGGCTTGCTTTCCTAGGGTCTCCCAGACATCGGTGCCGGGGAGGGCTTTGGGAGAGGCCCATTATCCTCACAGAGAGACTGTGGCGGTACCCAGGCAGGCTCCCGATGGAGGCACAAGCCCGCCTCCACCAACCTTCTCCTTAGGACACAAGTACTTACTTCACCGTTCCTGTTTCCTCTTTGCTAAAGGGAATCGGAGAAGCACGCCAACCAGCACAAGTCCAAGCAGCACAAACGGCGAATAAGCTCTTGGAAGAGAAGCCTATTGAAATGAGTCTTTGCTGGGCACAAGGTCGGCTAGCAGGCTTGGCCTGTAAATCACTGCACCCTCCTGAGCTTATTGGCTCTGGCAAAGGCAAAAACGTGCAGACTTTGACATTTCATAGCTCCCACCACCATCCCTGCACACAGTAGGCGTTTGGTCATTATTTGCTGAGCTGAATATCTGCAAAGGCAGCTGGACAGGTGAGGGGGCGAAGCTGGGTCCACTCAAATCAGAGACTTGCTACATGAGGCCAAGGCTAGGCTAGAATCCAAAACAGACCTGCTCCAGGCTGCTGCAGCCCCGAAGCTTGCTCGCGCCAGCCTCGGCTGAAAGGGATTTTGTAGGGGAGCCCGGGGAGGCCAGAATTAACATACTTACTGTATTATGTTGCAGCGGTGATAAGACTAAAATTTTAGGATTTTCTTAATGAGACTCCTACATACTCTGGTTTTTCTTATCAGCACTGGCAAGAATCCTAGTTCAGCATTTATGTCCTTTGCTTTATAACACAGAAAGGATTCTAAGAGGGGTTGGGAAACCAGTGCTGGGAAGCACCTGTGCTCCCTTTCTGCTCACCCTGTGGGGCGCCGGCCCTCTGCCCCCAGCCTGCAGGATGTGCTGCGCTGCCAGGCGACACCAGCCGTGAGAGTTCTGAGTCCCTTGTGCTTTGCTGAGCCACGTGCACCAATAAAACTGAGAACACCAGGCAGCCAGGACACCCCTGTCCCTCCCTGTCGGGGTTCTGAAAGCCACCCTTCTTCCCACCAAGTGTATTTTAGCTTTCAGCTGAGGGACAAGCAGGGACGAGCTGGAACCCACACAGGTCCACACGGCTCGTGGCCACTCTCAAGGCAGCTTTCCCCATATGAGCTTTGAGAACTTCTAGGGGAAGCACTGTGTGTCCACTGGAGGTAGATGGGACCATCTGATGGTAGAAGACTTTACTACATTCGTAGAGTGGACAGTGTGGAGTGAGGAGGAGCTAGGTGTCTATACTCAGGGCTTGGGGTGGAGGAGATGAAATCCCCTCCCCAGGGGCTGGGGCTGAGTCTTGGATTTCTCATCTTGCACTCCAAGTCTTTGGGCTCCTCTGGGGCAAAAAGCCCACTGAATGGGAAGAGAGACTGAGACCTGCCTCGCCTTCCCAACACATGGACAACTGTCCAAACACCACAAGGTATTTCTTTTCAGTTTTAAAACAGTTAAAGGTCTCCAATCTGCCCAGAAATAAGAACAGCCATCATGGGGCTGAGGGCATAGCTTGGTGATAAGAATACTCACCTAGCATGTATGGGGACCTGGGTTTGTTCCCTAACAACACAAAGAAAAAAATCATCTTTCCTGAATTCTAAACATAGCCAAAATTCAAAAAGCAATCAAAGCCTAGAACAACTGAACCGAAGGGCATCGCAGCGCAGAAGCTCACAGCAAAGTCCTAGCATGCTCCACTGCAGTCTGGAATGCTTCCTTTGCACACGCTTCTCACAAGCAGGTGTACAGAGGAGTACATGGGGGCACACTGCTGCTTTCGGTAAGAACAATGACCGAAGCAAGCTGACGGGTGAGAGCGAGGTGAGACGCAGGAAGACTATGACGGCAGGTGCACAGCCTCAGCAAACACGGCCGACGCTGCTCATTTGGTTCAGGGCAGACTAAGCACCTCTGGGATTCTAGGGCACCAGTATGCCCCTGCATAACAAACGCCATTGAAGCCACATCCGATGGGGAGCACAGGCTTTGGAATTCAACAGAACCTTGCATCCTGGCTCTGACATTGTCACCTGGGCATCCTTGGGCAATGTGCTTAAACTCTTTGAGCCTGTTTCCACCCAAAGGATGGGATACAAGTAGTTCCCATTTGTAGCCATGGAGAAGAGGCTTAGTGTTGGTGGTGTATCCTTACCCCCAGCGTGCTGGAGAGGGGAGCCATTGAGGGAGGCCCCTCCAGACAGATTTACTCAGTATAACTGAAATAATAGTTAGGGTTAAAGCAACAGAGAGGTGAAGACCCAGAGGAGAAGCCAGACACAGTGAGTGTGGGCCTGGGAAGGAAGGCAGGCCCAGCCCACCACTCCGTAAAAACATCTGGGTGTCCAACAGATCCAGTTGTACGCTCCCCTCCCTGCCTAGCTGCAGTTGTGAGCTCCATGTTACAGATGATGAATCCTGCACAGAAGTGAAGGCCTTCTTCAAGGCTACATAGCTCAGAAGTAGGATCTGGACACAGAACGATCTGCTCTGAAGCGGTTTTCATTTTTGTTTGGCCAGGGAAGAGGAACGAAGAACAGACCTGACTGCAGCAGACTTGGAGCTCAGGCCTGTTCAGTTGGCCCCACAACGCCAAACAGGGCCAGAGAGACTGATGCCCCTGTAGCTCCCCTGTGCCAGGGGGCAGGCTCGGGGTGCTGAGATCCACTGGTCAGCCAGAGCATCCGTCCTGCTAGACGTCTGTGAATGACATATTCGAAGGGGAAGAAAGGCTATCTGGAAACGTCCAATGCATGAACCTCACCTCAAGAAGCTCCATGGAGGACTCTGGGGGAGGGCCAGCCAGAAGGGTTGGACCCAGAGCCTTCTCCCAGGATTCTTCTGTATGTCACAAGGAAAGTCCCTGGAAGCCTCTTGCCTCAATCCTGTCTCAGGTCACCTCACACGCACATCACACCCCAGGCTCCATATCCCACACTCCAGGAAGAAGTGGGAAAGCAAGAACCCAGGATACTCCACCACAGACGCTCCTGCTCGCTTCTGACCATCGGGCTGCAGGGCAGTTCGGAAACAGCTACAAAGTGGTAAAATCTGGGCAGTCATCGGAGTTTCTATATGGCAAAAAATGACCACCATTGAAACCCTATAGAATCCTGAACGCCGGTTTATGATAATGTAACATTTCCAGCAATAATATTTGGGGAGGAAAGAGATGAAAATGAATTGAGCTTTATTCGGGGATTTCAGTATCATTACTATAGTTCCTTTTACTAAAATGCAGAAATATCTTTAACAAGGATTTGTGTTGTACTAAGAAGAAATGTATGAAAAAGTGACCTTAAACATGGGAAAATTTTTATATGCTATAACACAGGAGTGGCTTCTCTGCATGTTGGTGATATCAACAGTTTACTGAAGGAAAGTCTTATGTGATTAATCACCAGCCCCTGCCCTTCCCAGCAGAACCTAGGGGCGTCATGGTCTCAGAGATCAGGAAGCAGAGGTCAAGGCTGTGGCCTGACCTTGGCTGCTGGTGAGGGGCGGGGAATT